ACTAGTGGGTGGGACAGGATCTACGAAGATCGATGATCTAGAAAAAAAGCCGGGGTATTCTTTGTTTTATTCCCCGCTAATTCTCAATGCTCTTCTGCTTCTGCTTGCAGGCCCCATTCCGCTGGAACTGGGAAACCTTTCAGCGCTACAGCTCCTCTTCCTTCAGGGCAACCAGCTCAGCGGTGAGTTGCTCTCCAAGGTAATTTTCTTTTTTTTAGATTCCGGATGAATCCCGCCGATGCCGTGGACGCCAACTAGTTGGCGTCCACGGTAGTTGGTGGGGTTCATGCATGTTCAGAACTCGAAATCAAATCATTTCGATCTGTTCTAACTCACCATCTAGCTCGTTGTTGGCGAGGTCGAGGTACTGGAGGGCGCCAAGCTGTCCGAGCTGCGGCGGAATGTTGCCTGTAGATGAACGAGTCAACGTAGGGCAGTTTGGAAGAGTACAGAAAAGTTATCCCGCGAGTTGTAAAATTTCGTGGACGCCAACTAGTTGGCGTCCATTTGAAAATAGAAAGGCGGTTGGGAAATTATTCTGAATATTTACCGATGTCTCACCAGAAGTTGATTCCAGCCAAGATAGAGCTCCTCCAGTGCTGCGAGCTTTCCCAGCTCCGGCGGGATGCTGATGTCGGAATTTCAGGGGCAGGACAGAAAGTGTATGCTTTGTCGCCGGCCCTAGAAAACCTGCCATGTCCACCGCACCCAAGAGCTAGACTGACCTATTGCTGTGTCCGTCCGCCTTACACACAGGCGCGATCCCGAAGGTGCTGGGTGACCTCAAGGCCCTCACGCACCTCGATCTGTCCAAAAACGAGCTCATCGGTGAGTGCTTCGGAGCGACAATATTTTTTTCTTCAATCAAGTTAATTTTGAATCAGGCGTGACGAATCTAACCATTCTCTGTGTACCCCGCTGCTTCGTGCCGTGTGACAAATTAGATGCTCCGAGCCGACTGTTAACCGGAGCAGCTCTGGCGCGTTGGCAGGAGAAAGTCAGAGGTGAGGACTTGTGTCATGGTCGTTGATGCGTGCTCGGTCAATCACGTCTGTAAATGTCGAAAGAAAGAACATGTACGAGGAGATTTCTGATACTTGACTGTTTCGTTTACAGGTGCTGGACGAGTGGAGCCGCTGGCGGTGTCCGTGGTGGATTTCTTGGTCGCTCTGTGGCATTTCCTTATCCCGATATTCGACGATGTCACAGATGTCATTCTCTTGATTGGGACTTTCGAGGATCGCGGGGGGCTTTGGTGGGCGTGCTGTGGTGCGTTCGTGCTAGCAGATGTTGAGCGGGTGCTTATCCTCCTCGTCACGTTGTTGCTTGTTCTGCTGTGGGTTCCCTTTGCACTGCTTGGCACCGATGAATCAAGAGGCGAGCGTTTCGAGGTGGCGTTGAAATGCTTGAACGGCTGTCACGACTTGAAGCTGGAAACTGTTTGGGGTGGCAGTAGGTTCGTAGTCCCAAGGTCTGCCCTGCGATGGCCAATCTTGGATGGTTTTATGTGGGTTGTTGTGGGATCGCGCTCGAAGTCTAGTTCGTTGATGAGGTTGTGTGGGATGGCAGGTTACACGCCGGTGGACAGATTGGAGCAGTCTGGGTTTGGTCTTTCGTTGATCGATAGAATCGTCGACCACCATCCCTACAGTTTGCTCGGCCGCGCTCTGTTTTCCTATCCTCATGGACACCACCTCCCTGGTTCCGACGAGGCCACTCGTAGATCATGGGTTATGGTGCGGGCAGTGGGAGAGACGTTGGTGGTAGACTCTCTGTTTTTGGCTCTTTCCCTATCTTCAGAGACTTGGGAGGATGGCGTGTCGATTGGGATATTTTCGCTGATATTCTCGGTGTTGGAATTGCTCACGGAACTCCAGTATTACGTGTCGGAGGCCAGAGCGGACATGGTGACGGGCGGGGAGGAACCAACGAGCACTTCGATCGAGGAAGCAATTCAGCACGCACCAGCCGTATAGCGTAGACTTGTATGTGTCGTGCTCAAGTGTAGTCAAGAGCAGGGTGTTCGGGCGGCAGCATGAGAAATCGTGTATCTGGGCAGCAGAAGTCAAACTGTCAGGAAGAATAGGATTCATGATGGTCAACTTTCAGACTATTTTTTTTTCAGAGTACAAAGATTTCTTTTTTGTTACTCCCCCCCCCCGTTCCTCTCACAACTTTCTTCCTCTTCCAAGCCTCGTGTCTTCTAGAGGTGCCAAACAAAATGTGAGCGGAAAATGGTGCGTGGAGTCAGGTTGGAAGTCATGTTGGAAGCCAAGCTTGACCTCTGCTACCATGTCTCTTGTCATCATCCAACCGGACCACCAAACCGGGTATCCGGACCAGACCCGGTTCAATACTGAAACTAGTATATTTTTTCGCCCATTTTCGACGATACTCTCCCAGTTTTCAATTTTTTCAATTTTTCCTGTCAACTTTTTCTTCGAGTTTCAAAGGGGGCATTCATCCGGACCCAACCGGGTCAAAAAAGCGGTCCGGTTCAAAACCCGGTTGGTCTGGATGCGAACCGGGTAAAAGTGTCTTTTCGTGAATAAGACGCTGTTGAGATGCATCTTTTTATTACAGTCGAGGGACCCTTTTAGTGCCGGTACGTGCACAGAGCGTTCACCGGCACTAAATCGGGCACCCGGCACTATTGCGAATAGTGTCGAGGGACCCTTTTAGTGCCGGTACGTGCACAGAGCGTTCACCGGCACTAAATCGGGCACCCGGCACTATTGCGAATAGTG